AGCTCTGCAAAGCAAATTCTCCTAAGGTGAGAGAGAGGGTAAAGGACATACAGCCAATGTCTGTAGACCTGACGGCCTTGTGGCTTGGTGTCCGACATGTGGGCTGAGCCCACTTTGAACCCAAGAAGTGGTCAGGTACAATATAACTTTGATGATGTGCAGGCAGTGTTGTGGCATGGGGGGGATCTTGCCATATGCAATACAGGCAAAGCCCCAGGGTCAGTGGGATGTAAACAGGAATTACCAGCTGCAGGCTTCAACAGCCCCGGCCCCAGCTTTTCCCCACACAGCAAACAGGATGCTGAGAGATCCTGCTTCTGCTGAGGATCCTGCTACTGCAGCTGTGAAGGGAAGGGAGGCACAGTAACCTCCTTGAAAAGATGCATCCCCACCCTCTGAAAGTCTCAGTATCCTGATCTCAGCTGGCAGTGTAGGGGCAGAGCTACCTTTGTGCTGGGAAGCTATTCAGAGTCACATTTTGAAAGCTCAGCTGGACTTAGAAGTCTGATCAGACCATGGATCAACTAGGAAGCTTTGGAGAATGTTGTGTGCATGTGTTCTGCAGCTTGGCCATTTCTGGCACCAGGCAAACTGCTCAGTTGGTATGATAATGGTGTGCCCCAAAAGCCACCAGTCCTATCCACACTGATCCTACACAGAGCCCCTGTCACCTAAGAGACAGTAGTACCCCAGTCTGGGGTGCTGTCACCACCAATAGCTGGAAGCAGACAGCTAGGGAGGCAGGGAACAGGCTGAACATAGCAATATTACCCTGAATGTGTTCTCAGCCTTTAACGATGCAGGGTATCTGAGGCTACAATAAATAGCCCATCACGGACTTAAAAAAAAAAATTTTTTTCCTTGTAATCAGTCTCAAGTCCAGACTATCCTGCCCTGGATCTTTTCCAGTTCCAGTTAACTCAAGACCTTCTGCTGCTCCTCCAATTTACAAAGGGGTGTTGAAAAATAATATTAAAATGTAAGCCAACTTGACCAGACCTGGATAAAGTTTCCATCACATTCTTAAAGAGTTGTCTATGACAATGTAGGAAAAACTAAGTCACAGCCTTGGAGAAGTAGGAAACACCAAGTAAGGTGGCTTTTTCCCACTCAGCAGCTAGGGTAATGTGGGAAGGAAGGCAGTTTCAGCCAGACTATTTTATCTCTGAGACCAGATGGCTTTAAATGCTTCCCCAGAGCTTGGAAAGGGCCAGGCACTGCTTTGAATTGCTTTCATACCACCTCATTAGTAAGTAAAATGGAAGAAATGAACAATCTATAACTTTGTGGCAACGGGAAACAGCCCTGTTAATCCCATTTCCTTCACCAAGCTTACTCAGGGCAGGTCATCCAGTATCAGGGCCACATCACCTAATTTGCTTATCATTGCCCCACAGTCAGGAGTGTGGGCACCAGCTGAAAGGGCAGATGCATCCTCCTGGGCATTATTAATAAATTAGAAAGGTCCAGGTTGTTAAACCTGCTCCGGTGCATAATTGCGACACTCCTGGCACCCAGCTTCTACTTGCTGCTGCAGATCCAAGGAGTGGCCTCCTGAGCTCAGGAGGAGCCAAACAGCACTGGCAGGCCCTCATCCATGGCACCCAGCCTCACCATGCCACCCAGTTCCCTACCAGCCCTTTCCCTCTGCCTCCCTGTCCCACAGGAGAACTATGTCTTCTCACAGAGAACCTCCACTTGGTGTCCAGCTGGAAAGGCATCCAAATGCAGCCTCCTGAGTCAGGACTAGAAAGTTTCAGGCTTTTAGCGCTTGTTCCTGGGTCCCACAGCAGAAGGCATCTTCAGGCTACACATCAGGCTGACAGCATTTCGTCTGTTGGTTGGACCCACAGCTCCAAGGGTAGTAATGAGTGTCTTGGCACAGAGTCAGTGGCTGGAGTGGGGTAAATGTTAAAAAAGTTAGTGGAACAGGAAAGGAATCAGCAACCCCTAGCTTAGCTTCTCAGATGAGGAGTGCCGAATTTTAGCAAACTGCTAGCTGCATAAAACAAAACTAGGTGTCCCTGTTCTGGAGTTATGCACAGCTGGCTGTCAGCATTGCTGCCCTGCAGATATGGCTGGGGACATGAGCATCTGGATGAGTCCAACCCACCCTTGCCTTCGAGCTAGACTGAGATCCAGTAATAAGCAGCTCTACAATACATCCCCGAAATTTGTCACCCATAGAGCAGAAGGGCTTCAGGGCACTCGGGGAATAGCTGTGGGACGGGGAGTGGGGAAGGGAGTTGGGAGCAGCTGGTCTAGCACAGACCCACCCAGCCCTGCAGACGGCCAAGGCCACGGAACCAGCAGTGCAAAGATGCCGTGGGGAGCACGGACGCAGCCAGCCCTCCAGCTCGGCTAGCGTTGCTCATCCCAAATTGATCCGCAGAGGATGCTGCCCTCTTTTGGGCTCAGCGTGACCAGCAGAGATTCGGGGAAACTTGGAGAGGCCCAAGACGAGTGCTTTTTGGGACTCAAATCCCCACGTAGCGTTTGTCAAATGTGGTGACTTTCCATACCTGTCTCAGTGAACTTCCCTGGGACTTTTCCTGCCGAGAACCAGGCTGCTGGGTCTGCGGGTGATCTCTGAGCACAGCATAGAAAGGGAGAAGCAGGGTCAAGCTCAGGAGCCGTCCCTGAAAGATAAGGAGATGGGGACTTCTCCCGGGCCAGCTGCCAACGGTGAGATCTGCTAGCATTTAATCGTAATTAATTATTTTCATGAATCAATTAATTTGATAGCAAAATAAAATGGCAATCAATTAATGAACTGATTTGTAATAGGGTCCTCTGCCGCCCCATCAGCCCGGGGACGGATGCCCGCTCGCCCGCCGCGTCCCCGCCTCGCCACCTGCGGAGGGACACAGGGATCAGAGCTCGGCCGCTCCCTGCGGGCTCCCGTGTCCCTGGAAGGCGCTGCCCTCCCCGGCAGGTGCCGACCAGCCCTGCCCGGGCCGAGCCCCGCCTGCCGGCCCCGCCTCCCGGCCGGCACCTCCCCACGGCCCGGGCAGGGCAGGTCCGCGGGCTGTGCCCGCCGTGCGGGGCTGCGGGAGCGCTTCCCGTCGCGGGATCCCCCTCTCGCCTGCCCCGAGCGGCCCTGCGGCACCGCTGCCAGGCTCCTGCCCAGTGAGCCCCGGAGCTCTCCGCGGACCCCGGGCAAGCAGGAGCCCGCCTCGCCCGCCTCCCCAGCATGAGGACGCCGACGGCGATGATCGTGGGACTGGTGCTGTGCCCCTGCGGGCTCCTGCTGACGCTCACGGGCACGCTGGCACCCAGCTGGAGGAAGGTGAGCCTCGTACCTAACCAGCCCATGGACCTCGTCTGGGAGCAGGGCATCTGGGACATATGCAGGGAGCGGCAGAGCACCCACGACCGCCTCTGCGGGCAGGCTGACGAGCTGGGCTACTTTCAGGAGGTACCCGTGCGGGTGGCCCAAGGGCTGATGCCCTCCTCGCTGGTGATCACGCTCCTGGGCTTGGTGGTGGCTGCCCTGGGGGTTCGCTGCTGGCAGGAGGAGCCACGGCACCTGCTGGCTGGAGTGGCAGGGCTGGTGCTGCTTCTCTCGGGGCTGATGAGCCTCGTGCCCGCCTCCTGGTACACCCATGAGCTGTGGGCACTGCCCGCACTGCCTGGCAGCACACTGGTTGTAGGCTACAGCTTGGTGCTGAGCTACTTGGGAAGCTGTCTGGAGATCTTGGGGGGGCTGGCCCTTTCCCTCAGCTTCCACCACTGCTGCAAGGAGCGCAGGGCCCCCAAACTGTCCCCCAGCCCTGTGGTGGAGTCTGGGCTGTGCTCCACCATTGGGGCTTACAGCAATCCGTGGGACGTGCTGAAGGATGAGCGAGATGGACAGCACTGGAGGAACACTCCACCTTGTGACTCGGACTTGTAGCCCCAGCACTAGGACAGCAGCCTGGCACTGAGAGCAGTGCTGGCTTTTGACCTACAAGCCATGCCCTTCTGGGACACCTCAAAGCAGCCTGAAAACAAGAACAAGGACCTGTCTTGAATCTCTGCAACTTCCTCAAGTCTGCTGTGCTCCAGGTCCTACAACTGTGCCAAATCCACACTGGGTTGAGGGCTATACATAGCTCTAGTCCCTCCGTGCAGCTTTTAACTCATCCTCCTGCACCATGCACAGCAGCTTGGGCAGAGGCAGCTTCACTGTTCCCATGGGAGCAAGGTATAGGCTAGCACCGTGTAACCTTCAGGACTGAGAATTGGGGAGGGGTGCACCTCCCACATGTCTCTGCCCAACTCAGGACTGTGCAAACTGAAAAATAAATGCAAAGGAATGGGTCTGTACTGTGGGATGGTTACGGGCTTTCTGCCAGGCAGGCTGGGCTGAGAGCCAGTGGGCACGGCTAACCCAGCCTCCCTGTGCTTTACCTGAAGCAGGGAGGAAAAGTCTGTAAAAGTTTTATGGCACCTTCCTAAAGGACTTTTTCCCCATGGATAAAATCAGCTCTGGCAGAGGTTTCTCCTTCCTTGAGCACAGCCACTTCAGGAGAAAAAAAAACAAAACAACAAGGGAACACAGAGAAAAAAATAGCATATTCAACATTAGCCTGGTATGAGGTGGTAAAACTGGTCTCACTGGTTTGTAAGGGACACTCAGGAGGTCAGAACTGGACTATAAAATCCTGCTCAACACCCTGCATAACATGATAAGAGCCAAGCCAGCTTCCTTGCAGAGCTATTTGGCCAGATTTCTACCCCAGGCAAGCCCAAAGCACCATGGTCAGCAAGCTAAGCCTTGCTGAAGAGGGACAGTGGCTCATGATGCTCTTAGTGTGGTTATTGGGTTAGTAAAGGATGCATCCTGCAACAGGGGATCAGATTCAGGTGGCTCAGAGTGTGTTGGGATTGGAGACTTCCTGATAAACCTCCCAAACTTTTTTCCTCTGGACTTTTAAATTCCCTAGAGCTTAGACATCGGGAAAGAGCAAACCAACTTCCCTACCCAGCCCACACACAAAACACAGTGGCACAACAGATGCTGCACAACATTCCTTTATGAAAATCCAGTGTTGAGGTGAGATGATCCCTTCCTCGGCAGGGCTGGCAGCTCCTGCAAAGATCACGGATGAGTGCGTGAGGGGTGAGTCTAAGCCAACCTCTCTGAGCCCACCCCACACTTTAGCACAGGGGCTCCAGTCGCAGGCAGAGCTGGACAGCCCTTTCAGACACCAGACACCCCAGCTCTTGCCCCTCTCCTCCAGCAAGAGGGCAGAGGTTGCCTCAGGAGTGGGCACCATGCCAGCACTGGGCCTTGGGGCATCCAGGGTGGCAGGGGGTGTCCCTACCAAGGCCTGCTCCTGTTGTTACTCACCTCTTTCCCATCGTAAGCTTCATTCACAAATGTATCACTCTTGGGGGGAAGCTCTTCCTCCTCCTCCTCATCCTCTTCCTCGGGGTCACTTTCACGGTGGTACAAGGTCAGCACCCGGGTGGAAGCAGTGCTTGAGGTCCTGGGGAGGAAAAACCATACACTAAGAATGGCATGGCCATCTCCTAGAGATGGGGCAGATCCTAAGGTCCTGCCACAAGCCCTGCTTATAGCTTGTTGGGGTGATCGAGCTTTCTATATAACCCAGGGGTGCATCAGGACACCACACTGCCCCTGGGCAAGGAGAACCAGTCCCTCTCTATCCCCAGTTATACCTGGCCCAGCCCAACCCCAGAGTTCACCTCCTCCGCCTGTCCCGCCTCCGCATGTAGGCCAGGGCCCCCACAGCAGCAGCAGCGAGCAGGAGGAGCACGGCCACGCCCAGGGCAATGGGTCCTGCGAAGGGCTGCACCTCTGCCTCCTCGCAGTAGTTGCCACGATAGCCCAGGGCGCAGTGGCACGTCACTCGCCCGGCCTCGATGGCGCAGTCCCCGCGCAGGTTGCACGTCTCGCTGCTGCACGGCACAGCCCTCAGCACCTCCTCCGTGCTGGGGGGTACCAGGAAGGGCTCTCCGTGCTCCCGGGGGCCAGGGGCTGCGGGTGAGCTGGGGCTGGGCTGTCGAGGCTGCGGTGCAGTTATGGGTGAGGTTGGTTTCTGTTCTTCCACGCGGGACATTCCTGACGGTGACACTGCGGGGACTTGCGTCCCCCTCTGCCGGGAGGGGCCTGGCAGGAGGGGCATAGGTCAGCAAGAGACCCAGGTAAGTCCTCCTTCCCAAACTGGGGGAGACTGGCCAGGCTACCCTGTGCCCCACCAGGACTGCTGCATGCCCTGGCTGTGGGCAGGCACTCACAGTCAGACTCATCAGAGCCGTCAGCGCAGTCAGGGCGCCCATCACAGACCTGCTCTCCAGAGATGCAGCTCTGGAGGTCAGGGCAGGGCTGGAGTGCAGCAGGGCAGGACACTGCTGGCGCACATGCTGCTCCACGCACGAGGTGGTAACCGGGAGAGCAGCGGCACTGCCGCCCTGCAGGGTTGGGCAGGCAGAGCTGGGCACAGCCCCCATTGCTCTTTGCACAGGCGTTGGTGCCTGCCAAAACAGTGTGAGTTAGCATGGACACCACTGAGCATGGCTCAACCCCACAGAGGCCCTGGGCTGGGACAGCTACAGACCCACCTTCCTGTGAGAACTGGCTGTAAATCCTCATGGCTACCAAATCCTTCTCCATTGGGAACCACCAGCTCTCGGCCCGTTCCATCCGGCTATGCCAGATCTTGCTGGATCCTGGAGACACATGGGGTCAGCACTGCTCCACCTCCTCCCAAAATAGTGCCCAGGATGAGAGGTGGGGCTCCCCTAACCTGTCCTTCACCCCACAGAGGTGCAGCCTGCACCCCACGGGGACTGGCAGAAACACCTGTGCCCCAGTGCAGTAGGAGGAGCTGGACAAAATACAGCAAACAGACCCACCATTGGTTGAGGTTGTGCTCCAGAGCAGAAAGCCTTCTCCTATGGCAAAGAGCGAGAGACCATGCAGCCCTTCCCGCACCACCCGAAAGTGGGATCCATCCAGTTCGATGCTGCTGATGGTACCTCTCTCTGCACAGGGCACAGATGGAGCAACATCAGTGTAGAGACACAGAGGGGCTTCGTGGGGCTGTGCCCTGGGCACCTGAGTGCCTGCACCACTGCTAGCCCCAGCAGTGTCCCGGCTCAGCCCATACTCACCGTGGTCTGCCCAGTACAGCCTGGTGCCAGCAGCCCCAAAGGTGAGGCCAGTGGGAGCCCGGGCTCTCCTCCAGACCGCTCTGCGGCCAGTGCCATCCATGGCTGCACACTCCACGGTGGCACCAGGCCCATGGCTGCCAGCTGCTGTGACAAAGCACATGGTGGAGGCACGAGGGCACAGTGCCAGCCAGGCAGCGCCCTGCAGCCCCTCGCTGAGTAGTGCCAGGGCCCACCGCCCCCCGGGAGCTGCCACATGGATGCTGGGCAGCTGCCCTCCAATCCAGTACAGGTTCCCACTCAGCCAGTCCAAGGCCAGGGACGTCACCGTGCCCTCCACAGCTACTGCCTTCTTCCAGGACAGCCGTCCCCAGTCCTTCAGACGCAGCAGTCCGATGGAGTTGCCTCCCACCTCTGCAAAGTACAAACTCTTGTCTTTCACTGCGTAGTCGATGGCTGTCAGGTGGCCCACCTTGGCCAAGGGCAGGGTCCGGTGCGAGGGAAGCCCTTGGGATCCAGATGTTGCAGGCAGGTCTTTCAGGTAGACCTGGAGGAAGGAGGCAGCACTAAGATGGCCACCCCTCTCCCCTGACAGCAGCTAGGGCAGCAGCCCCTAAGGCTGGCTCTGGAGGATGGTACCTGTGCCACAGCTACTGATGACACCAGGAGGGCAAAGGCTGAATCACGGAGGGGCAGGCAGGTAGTCTCATCGGCAGCCAGCACCAGCCTGGCAGGGCACCGGCACTGCCCAGTGTGCCTGGCGCTCAGCAGGCACAGGTGGGAGCAGCCACGAGTCTCGCATGGGTTAGGGGCTGTGGGGCGCAGGGCTGGGTGCATCACCTGTGGGAAGGGCAGGCTCAGCTCACAGCCCTGTCAGTACCCGCCGGCAGAGCTGAGCACGATTTACACCATGCCATGCTCCCAAGGCCCAAACACAGCCCAGCCCTGGGCAGGATGGTGAGGCAGAGATGTTCCAAGAGGACCAGAGACACTTGGCCACAGGGACTACTGCCCAAGGACCACCAGGATGGGGGTACAGCTTCCAGTGCCCCCACACTTGGAGGACGACAGGGCCGTGCATGTTGGGAGACCTAGCAGAGCTGGCATAGCAGGGTTTGGGCCTCCCCAGGTAGGTACCTGGAGGCCATGGGGCTGGCCGTGCCGCTTGAGCAGTGTGGTTCTGTTCTTGCCACTGGCCTTGTCCACCTGCTGCACGGACCATGTCTTCCTCTCCGACCAGTAGAGCTGGCCCTCGCACACGGCCGCCGCAAAGGGGCTCCGGACCCAGCCCAGCTTCAGGACCTGTCAGAGAGGCTGTAAGCACCCGCTCCAGTCCCCATCAGGGCCCCGTCAGCAGTGCCCCACCACACACCTTCACACTGGTGCCATCCAGACGTGCAGAACTGACACTGCCCAGCTTCTCATCCAGCCAGAAGATCCTCTGGGTGGGGAGATCGAGGGCTAGTGCTGTGGGCCAGCCCAGCCCCCGGGCCAGCAGCACGTGCCGCCGACTCCCATCCATCGTGGACTCCATCAGACGTGGGTGGCTCCCCACCTCTGACCAATACAGCAGCCTAGTGGGAAGAGAGGTGCTGGCCCATGGACCGGACACAGCATCGTCCCACTACATGGAGGAAAATGGGGCAGGGGAGGGATGGTAAGGAGGTCCCCATGTCCCCATGTTGCAGATTTACCCTGCCAGAGGCTGGACCACCAGAGAATGGGGCTGGTCTAGGTCTCCATCCATCACCACAGTGTACTCTGGTATCCCTTGCCAGGCAGCGCCCAAGCGAGTGGCCAGCACCTGTCCTGCTGCACCATCTGTCCAGTACAGGTTCCTCCCAAGCCAGTCCACTGCTATACAGTCTGATTTTACACCTGAAACACATCCAAGAGTCAGCACCTGTGGGATGACAGCTCCCAGGCCACATCCTCTCCATCCCAGGCTCTCTGTCCTCTCCTCCCAGCCTTGCTCCCAACTAGCACCTCTCTACACAAGGTGACACAGCCTGGCATGCCACTGTAACCCGGAGACTGCCCAGTGACAGAGGCCATCTCTGTTACCCCCATGCCGTCACAGCCCACCTTTCACCAGTGTGCCTTTCTTGCCCGAGCTGAGGTCCTGCCAGCGGATGCTCTCTGTGGCCAGGTCCATCCAGAAGACTTTCCTCTCCTCCAAGTCATAGTCGAGTGAGAAGACGACACGATCCTTGTCAGTGGCCAGCAGCACCTCCTCACGCCCACTCCGCAGGCCATAGGCCAACACCTCTGACTGCACAGCCGCCAGCAACACGGGCTCTGCTCCTGAGGCAACACAAAGCCCCCCCGACCCTGCTCAGCACTGGTGGCCCCATGGGCTCAACACATGCAGGCAGGGAATAAAGCACTTGCAGGCACTGGAGCCTGCTGGGACTCAGCCCTACTAGACAGGATGTTCTCAGATAGTGCAGATGGATTTTCTGACCAGCCATGGGCTGGCAATCATCAGCTCACAGCTGAGTGGGGCCTGGCAGGCAATGTGGCAGAGGAGACAGGGCCGTTCACAGGACCACAAGCCTCCCTGGGGCAGCAGGCATGGGGGGCAGGTACGCACCAGCTCCTGGTGTACCCTAGGGGGCCAGGGATCCTTAGCACTGCTTGGCCATCCCATGACTTACCAGTGAGTTTGCAGACACGACCATCAGGCTCCAGCAGGTAGCCAGGGAGACAGCCACAGCTGTAGGACCCTGGGGCATTGAGGCATGTTTGGCTGCAGGCTCCCTCGCCCCACTCTGTGCACTCGTCTATGTCCACGCAGGACAGCCCATCCTTGGCAAGCCGATAGCCTGGGCTGCACCAGCAACGCTGTGGGGAAAGGGGCCATCAGATTCCCACCCTGGGGACATGAGGCTCCCTCCTGCAGCTGGATGGACCATGGCAAGCCCCCGGCCCGGGGCTGGTGGCACTCACGGGGCCCTGGGGCGAGGGGTAGCAGAGATGAGCGCAGGATTGTTTGCAGGGCACAGAGCAGTTCCCCCCCTCGTCTGAGCCATCCGCGCAGTCCTGCCGGCCGTCACACACCAAGGATGCATTCAGGCAGGTCCCCAGCCCACAGGGGTACTCATGACTCTGGCAGGGAGCAGGCTGGCCTACAGGGACATGTGGGGAAGGCTGCCCTAAGCCTCATCCACCAGCTTGTTTTTCTCATCTGGGGCAGATTTAGCTCCTAGAGGCTGCCCAGAGCTCATTGCAGCTACATCCAGAGCTGTGCCAGTAGCCTGGCTTCAGGCTATATTAATCCAGAGGCCACCAGCCATACACAGACAACAGCTATCTGGGGCCTGGAGCTGCCACAGATGCTGGGAATAGGCAACCAGCACATAGGGCCTTTTGCCTCAGCACAGACACATACCCATCTTCCTCTGTGCTGGGCACCCACCAGCTACCTCGGGTAATACACAGAGGGGATAAAATCAGGGTGTAGCTCACAGCCAGACTCATCGCTGCCATCTGTGCAGTCAGTCTCTCCATCGCAGCGCCAGACATCAGGGATGCACTCATGGCCATGGGAGCAGCCCCACTGCTGGTCCTCACACAGCCCTTCCTCCCAAGGACAGCCCTGCAAAGGCAGAGCGTGAAAAGGGTTACCAGCTCTCCCGGGCACGTGCAGGGACAGGTGCTGTCCCCACTACTCCACTCACCTGCTCGTCTGTGCCATCCCTGCAGTCGGCAGTGCCATCGCAGTGCCAGGCCTCCGGCACACACTCCCCACTGTGGGAACACCTCACCTCACCCTCACGGCAGAGCAGCGGCCGGGGCACAGCACAGCCCTCCTCGTCTGAGCCGTCCTGGCAGTCGTGGTCACCATCGCAGTGCAGGGCCAGGGCCACGCACTGCCCACTCCGGCAGGAGAACTCAGCCGGGCCGCACTCCTTCGGCACTGTGGGCAAGGCCAGGGCTGAGCGCGTGCACTGTCCCCGTCCCCATCCCACCAGTGGAGACATGGCACTGAGCAGGGTACGGCCTCTCCAGCTGCTCAGCAGGTTGCCCCAGGCAGTGCCTGCCCCTGGACCCACAGGAAAACTGGTGCACGCACCCATGGGGCAGGTAACCCCAGGAGCCCCTGTCCCATCCAGCCCCAGGGTCTCACCACAGCCTTGCTCGTCAGTGTGGTCCAGGCAATCAGCATGGCCGTCACACAGCCAGCTCTTGGGGATGCAGCGGGTGGCAGCGTCACAGCGCAGGGCACACTCCTGCGTGGGGGTCCAGCAGCCTGTCTCATCCGAGGCATCAGGGCACTGGGGCACCCCATCGCAGCGCTCTCCCGCCGCAACGCACATGGCTCCGCTCGCGCAGTGGAAGGCCCCTGGGGAGACAAGGAGCCTTGCACTGCCTGCAGAAGGCAGCTGGGGTGCCCAGGCACTGTGTTAGTCCCCCAGTAGCCTAGAAAGGCCACACACTACAGTGACAGGGCTTGGCCCCTCCTAGCCAGTGCATCTCCGGCAGCCTACATCCTGAGCAAGGCAACTGAGGCAGTCTCAGCTCAGCCACATTTAAGTCACTGTGAGTGGTGGGACCAGCCTATACCCTTCTGACAGCACCTCCAGCCCAGTGCCAAGCTCAGAAGGCACCAGTATGCCCCATGACAAGCATTAGAGCCCAGGATAGAGACTTTCCCAGGGTGCCATCCCACCAACCCCACCAGAGAACAGCCAAAAACCCTGGCACAGGGTGACCCAGCTGCACAGGGAGTCAACTGAAGAATGGCTCCTACCTGGAGTGTTGCAGAGCTGGGCACACCCGTCCTCATCAGAGCCATCTGCACAGTCTTTCTCCCCATCACACAGGTACTCCTGGGCCACACACTCAGTGCCATCACGGCAGGACACGTGTGTGCGAGGACAGGACAGGTGAAGGACAGGGGTCAGGGGGTGAGCAGGGCTTGACTGGAGTGGCGGGGTAGGCGGCACTACCCGTGCAGGACTGGTTGGGTGCTGGGTGGTAGTAGTCGGCCGTGGGACAATGACCTTAGTTGGCAAAGCCCGAGTAGTGGTGGTGGTGGTGCTGGTGGTGGTTGGCTGCACAGTGGTGGTCTTGCTTGGTGGGGTCCGGGCAGTGGTTGGCACAGGGGTCGTCTTTGTTGATGTGGACTGGCTGGTGGTGGTTGGTGTGGACCGGGTGGTGGTGGTGGCCTTGCTGGTTGGTGCAGGAGTAGTGGTGAGCACAGAGGTGGTCCTGCTTGGTGTAGGTGTTGTGGTGGAGGTGGTGGGATGAGCAGCAGTGGTGCTTGTTGTTGTCTTCATAGTGGTGGTCACAGGTGGAGGGAGTGGCAGGGCAGAACCCTTGCTTGGTGGCACTGGAAGAGGATTTGGGATTTGGGGCTGTGCTCTCCCCACACCCTGGGCACTTTCCAGAGCACCCCAAGTGGCCACTGGTAGCCAGGCACCCTGCCCCAGTTCAGAGCAGCATGGGCCACCCAGCCCCATCAGATAGAGTCCCTGTGTCAGGCACAGAGCCACGGCTGCTCTTACCAGCCTGCAGCTCCGAGCCCACGAAGGCCACTACTCCCTGCACGCCTGCTGCTGGCATGGTCAGCACAAGGGTCAGCGTCCTCCGGTCCCACAGTAGCAGAGCCGTCTCGTTTGCCGACACCAGGTATGGCTCGAAGGCGGCCACAACGCCGTGGGGCCAGCTGGGTGCCAGGGTGACTGCTTGCTGTTTGGTCAGACTCAGTGCCCGCAAGCCTGTGAGGCAGAGGGATGGTAGGACCTGGGGCCTACAGACACCCCTCGTGGCCTACCCTGTGCCCCGATAACCCACAGCTATGGCAAGGACCTCATGGCTGAGGCCAGGGGCTCAGCCATGGGAAAGAGTCTGCCCCACGAGCATCCTACTGCCCAGGCAGGGACTGCTGCATGTAGGGCATAGCTGATCACTCCTGCCTACATCCACCACCTCCACTCTCTGCTCCAGATACTACCATGGCTCACCCAGGCCTGAGCACCAGAGCAGGCTGAAGGCTCTGCTATCCATGGCTGCAGGCAGGTCTCCAGGCCATGTCTCATTCCAGGCATCCCACGGAGCACCCCCAGCCAGGCTCAGCTGCTGCAGGGGCTGCCCACGGGCTAGCCAGTACAGAGCGCCCCTCTGCCAGTCCAAGAAGAGGTGCTGGATGCTGCTGCGAGCACGGTGCAGGATGCGCGGGAACATGTCAGATGCCCGGATCACCCCGATGTCCCTCCGGTTACATGCGAGCCAGTACAGGTCCCCTGAGCGGATGTCCACACGGGCAGAGCACACTTGGCAAGAGAAGGTAGGCAAGCACTTACAAGGCTGTCCCACGACCTGCTCCTCCACCTGAGACCCCCAGCCCCTAAACTCAGAGCACAGCTGCCCACTGCCTCAGCACGGCCCAGCCAAGGGCACCATCAGACTAGTGTGCTCTGCACCCAGGACATACTCAGGCCTCAGGGAGCATCAGGAAGGGGAGTATGCCCTCCATCACCCCATAGTGTCTCACCTGGCCGCCCAGTTGCAATGGCCTCTCTCCTGCCAGGGTGCCCCACAACACTCAGCAGCGTCCCACGGTCATCTGTTCCATAGAGCACTGACCTCTGCCAGTCCACGTCTTGCAGGTGGAAGGGCTCCTGCCACTCCTGTACCCATCTGCTGTGTGCTCCAGGGCCCACATGCACCAGGGAGATGGCCTTTCCTGATGCATACATGATGGACAGCTCTGCAGGGTACAAGGGCAGTGTATGAGCATAGCCCCAGCAGCACTGGACGGGGCCACCAGCATGAACCAAGGAAGAAATGTAACAGCAATGGTGTGTGCTGGGAACCTCATCCCACCAAAGCCACAGCCCCTTTCGGCCCTCCCTCAACTCCCACAGGATGTATACCGCCCCAGAGAGCCAACCCACCTCATAGACCCTGCTCACCTGTGCACTTTCCGGAGGGCAGGAGGAAGAGGCCCTCTGGACAGGCACACTTGTAGCCCCGGGGGTGCACAGGTGACAGGAGGCAAAGGTGACTGCACAGACCTGGAGCACACGCAGCAGTATCCCCTGGGAGCAAGGGAACATTAGGCAACCATGACCTCCGAATGTCTCTCCCAGTCCCCAAAACCAGACTGTCCTGGGGCTGGTTATGGGCTGGCAGACATGGTAGCAACATCACATGAGTTAGGAGGGCGCAGCTCTACCCAAAGACATGGGATTTGGCAGCTTTCCTATGGACTTATATGTCCCCTTTGTCTCAACCGCACAACTCCTCATCACAAGACTAGTTAAACCATTGGGTAGGACCCTGTGAGCTCCAGGACTCAGCACAGCCTCCCCCAGCATCCAGGGATGCGGTGGGGGTGCTGCCAGCCCTGCAGTGGTGCAGCACACACAGAGTACTTACGGGGAGGCTGCTGCAGTGCGTGCACCACAGTGAAAGCTGAGACAGGAGCACGGAGCAACACTGCGTGCTCCTGGGGAGAGGCCCAGGTGGCTGACACCAGCTCTGTGCCATCGGTCCAGAAGAACCGGCTCTCGAACACAGCCAGGCCCAGTGGCTCCGTGTGTCTCCGCAGAACAGCGTGAAAGGAGTGACGCCCGCTGCCATCCACCCGCAGCGTCTCGATGGACTGGGGACAAAGCAAGGCATGGTGACCATGTGGCATCCCCGTGCCCTGGCACTGTCCCACAGCCACAAGCCTCATGGTGGTGCCATCACCTCCCAGTCCGGGGATGTAGGCCAGACCTGAGCACTGCTCCCTGCTCTCTCCTATGCCTTGGACGTAGACAGAGGGGAACCAGGGCCACCCTCCCAACTCCCATCTTATCATCTCCCTGGGGGAGGAGAGCCCTGCAGCCTTTTGTCCCTACCTCCTTGTACTCGCTGATCCAGTACAGTCTGCCAGCCACATGGTCCAGGCTTAGCCCCACAGGCTCCTCCATGGGCACCACTGTGAGCTCCCGCTTGTTTGAGCCATCCATGCCAGCCGCAGCAATGACTGTCCGGCCCCGCTGCCCGCGGTTGACCCAGTACAGGGACCTGGGGGCAGGCACCAAGGAAGCGCTTCACAGCATGATACCAGTGCTGCCACAACCCCACAACAGCACCAGCATCACAATCCCAGGAGCCTGGGCCAACCCTGGCTCATTCACTCCTCACCTTGCAGCCGGATGCACTGTCAGCTGCTCTGGTACAATGTCCTTCCCCAGCACTGTCACATAACCCCGGCCATCACCCAGCCCTGCATAGATAGCTGGAGGATGGCTGCTGGCCCAGTACAGCTGCCCTGTGAACCAGTCTAGGGAGATGCTGTTCACCTCTCTGGCATCTGCGGAGACAGAGTAGTTTTAAGGCGTACCAGCCTGTTCCAGGCTGAAAGACAAACCCAGGTTGCCCCTTACTCTATACAGGAAAGGCTGGCCTGAGGTGGCAGGCCAGCTCTCAACACCCATCTCAGCCCCCCTACAGCACCCAGCCTCACTCCTCCCCACCTGCATAGAGGGATTGTGTGCCTTTCCCCAGGGGGTGAACATGGATCTCGCCATCCTCTGTCAGCCAGTAGTAGGTTTCTCGGAGCTGGTCGTACACCAGGGCTCGGGGTTCAGTCTGAGTGGAGAGCTGAGGCCGGTAGGCTTGGGTCCGTACATCCAGTAGGGCCAGGTCCTGCCCCACGGCCACCAGAATCTGTGTCGCATTGTCTGCCAGGATGAGAGGAATGCCACTCAGTGAGCAGGGACATGGCTAGCTGGGGGCACTGCCCAGCCCCTCAGGAACCCCAGGCTCCCCAGCTCACCCTACCTGTCACTTCACAGGCGGTGCCGTGCCGAAGGGTGTAGCCCTGGAGGCAGGCACAGCTGTAAGTGCCCGGGGTGTTGCTGCACAGCTGGCTGCAGGGGCTGTACTCCAGGGAGCATTCATCCACATCTGCAGGGATAGGTGCAGTCAGGAGCCTGCCGTAGGAGCTGCCCCAGACAGCATTCAGACAGCATTGCCACTGCTCCCCAGGGACCACAGGCAGGCTCCCTAGATACCAGAACCTTTGGGCCCTACCCCAAAATGCACCAGCTGCTGCTGGGACATTATCTAGATATAGCATTTGTGGAGCCAGGGGTGACATGTGACCAGGAGCAGGGCAGAGGCAGGTGTTCCCACAGAAGCACTGGCTCCATGGAGACCCTGCTCCCAGTGGCTGAGGCCACATGTGCTTGAAGTGCATGGCCCTGATCTCTCCTTACCAGCACAGCTCTGCCCGTCTGCCTGCAGCACCCAGCCGGCCCCGCAGGAGCACTGCACTCCCCAGTGTGTGTCAGCACATGTCTCTGCACAGCCCCCGTTGCGTACAAAGCAGCTCTGATCTGTGGGGACACAGTGAGGGCTGACGTGAAGCAGGACAGCTCTGTAGCTCCACCCTGGCCCCAGCCTCATGGGCGGTGGCCGGCAGCCATACACAACTCACCACACGTGTTGGGCTCATCGGTGCCATCCAGGCAGTCATTCTCTTCGTTGCACATCAGGGACTCCAGGATACACTTCCCCTCATCACACCGCACCATGCCAGGTGGGCAGGTGGCTATGGCACACACAGCTCATGTCAGCGGGGCAGACCAATACCAGGTGGGCTAAGGGGAAACCCTGGGTCCCAGACTCATGGGGAAGTCCCACAAAGTATCAACGGTTCCTGGGAAGCTTACCACCATCCCAAGGTGAACTGAGGCCCGGGAAAGCAAAGTACTCCCTGCTTCACACATGGTCCGGACAGGTCTTGCCCCACTGAGGAGCATCTAGTGTGCTTGCTTACCACAGACATCTTCATCCGAGGAATCGCCACAGTCATCAATCCCGTTGCACTTCCACTCGGCCATGATGCACACCCTGTTCCTGCACTGCCACTGCCCAGGCAGGCAGGGCTGCTGGGGACACCCCTCCTCGTCCCAGCCATCCTCGCAGTCCTGATGTTGATCGCACAGCTCCCAGTGTGGGATGCAGTGGTGGGTGCCAGGACACTGCACCTTCTTTGTCCCGCACACTGAGGAGGGAACAGCGCAGCACTCATCGCCCTGCCCTGTGTCCCTAACCACCCTCACTCAGTGTCCCCAGCAGAGACTACATACCACAGTCCTGCTCATCAGAGCCATCCAGGCAGTCAGCAGCACCATCGCAACGCCAGCTGCTAGAAACACACCTGCCATCGTCACACTGCCAAACATGGGGGTCCCCGCCACAGGCAATGTCTGCAGGAACATCACACGGTCACTGGGACCTATTGCTACGGCAGAACCACAGGGGTCCCCTCCATCCTGGCACAGGGCAGGTGCTGGCAATGCCTGAAGAGCTGTGCCAAGAGGCTGGCCCACAGCAGCCCCCACAGTCAGGCTCTCTGGCAGGTAGGGTCTGCCTTGCTCAGCATAGCATCCAGGATATGTTCCCATGCCACAGACATTCACAAGGAGCTCTGGGGTACACATGTCCCTGCAGGATGCCACACAGGCAGGACCAGCAAAGACCAAAGAGCCTGCCCTCCCCCACCACTCCCCAGAGCATCAGGACCTCGTGATGCCACCCAGCGCAGCCCTCAGGTCCACCCCACGACAGCGGATAGGTGTCAGTATTCCCCCGCTCACCGCACTGTTCGTCCGTCCCGTCAGGGCACTGCTGCTCCCCATCGCAGAGCCAAGGAACGGGGATGCAGCCGGCGGAGCAGGCAGCCTGGCGTGAGGCAGCGCACGTGGAGCCAGCGGCCGCTGCGGACAAGAGGGAGCGCGGCCCGGGATCAGCGCGGGCAGCAGCACCGGGCATCCCTCTGCACACCCGCCCTACAGCTCCCCGCGTGTGCAGCTCCCCAGCACAGCCCTGCGGAGGGGAAGGGACCACTCCCAGCCAGGGGTACCCCAGGACCTCCTGCGGGGCTGGAGGGAGAACTATAGCCTCTCGTCCCCCTCAGGGAAGGCAGTGACGCTCCAAACCCTCTTAGGCAGAGGTAGGGGGTTCCTGGGGGCCCAGGGACCCCCACGCTGTCAGGATGGGAAGGATGCCACACAGAGCAGGGACACATCACCGGGGGGATGGGGAGAACGGAGACACTCTCGGTGGCAGGGACACCACACCCCATAGCCCATTGCGGGCGGATGAGCAAAGCATCCCTCCTGATGCTGCGGGCGCCCACCGCAGCCCCTCGGGATGGGACAGGGACCTCCCCGCCCGCCCCCGGCCCGCCCCCCTCGGTCCTGGCTCACGTTCGCGGCGGAACCCGGCGCCGGCGGCGCTCCCGGCCAGCGGCAGCAGCGGCGGCAGGAGGATGCTGAGGAGGGCGAGGAGCAGGCGGAGCGGCGGCGGGGGGCGGCCCATGGCGGCGGCGGCTGCGAGGGGCGGCTTCGGGGGTCCGGCCGGCACAGGGAGCGAGGAGCCGCGGCCGCCGCCTTTATGCCCGGGCGCGGGCGGCCATTGGGCACCGCGGAGACCCCGGCCCGCCCCTGGCTTCGCCAGGTTCTCCCCCGCGCTGCTGAGGGTTGTTGTGAGAGCCGGCCGTGAGAACCGGGGCCGTGGCACCTGCTGTGGGCGTGGGAAGGCAGCGGCAGCCTTGAGCGCGGGGGCACCCCCCGAAAACAGGGGGCTGCGCGCAGCCCCCCGGCTGCCCGCCGACCGTCCTCGACCTTGAGGGCTGCAGAAGAGCCGCTGGAGCACAACAAGGAGAGGGAGAGCAGCGGCCGAGGGAGGAAAACAGCCCGACGAGAGGATAAGGCACCTGCCACTGCCTGGGAAAGGAGCCCCTCGCACCAGGCAAAGCGGGGGCATCGCCCGAGCCGCGGAGATGGCCCCGGGTCACGGGGGTTTGCAGATCCCTTGCTACATACCCGGGGGAAACTGCTGGTGTGCTGCCCCTCCATCACCTTTGGCTTGTCTCCCAGACATCTGCATGTGGTGGCGTGAGTGTGTATCCACCCCCAAGGTTGGTCTGTGTTCTAAACACATCCATGGCCTGTGGGTGCTGTGCACTCATCCTCTCCAGCTTTCCCATTAAAGCTCCCCGCTGCAGCACAACCCTATTACGCACCCCTACCCGTGCTGTAGCCCAGGGTGCAGATTCACCCAGCTCTCTGCCCTCCCTGGGCAGCATCCCAGTAACCCTGAGCAATTGGTTTCCCCAGGCACTCCCCAGGAAACATAAGTCTGCAAATCCCAAGGATGATGAGCATCCTTGGGGCAGGAGCATCAGGCAAGGTGGTCCTAGTGGTCAGGGAGGGAGTGAAAAGGACGGAACAGTATCAAGGCACTCCCAAGCCCACGCAGAAAGCCGCAATACCCTCCTCACACCTTCAGGCAAATGCCAAGATCGATGGTAGCTCCCTGGGGATCTGTCTTGTACCCCCAGCTCTGCCACCCCAAAGAGAGATGTCCAGCACTGCCTTCACCCACTGAGCCTGTACCACTGTGAGGACCAACCAAGGAAGGGAGCAAAGAGACACCTCCTGCAAGAGCACTAGCTTTGTTAGCAAAAGAAGCGGACAGCACTTTGAGCAGGACACAGAAGGGATACTCCTGCATCCTGCCCAGCTGGATGTGTAAGTCCCTAATATTTCTCCAGGCATGTTGCAACATGCATTGCTCCTGCAAGACTAGTGGTGCTCTCCTTGCCCACCTGTCCTTGTGTTCAATTTAGTTCCAGCATGGCCTTTGCACTCCCCTGATATCAGGCTCCCCTCCACA